GCAATCCCCGCCCCTCACCTGAGCCAGGTAATCCCTGCTCCTCACCTGGGCCAGGTAATCCCTGCCCCTCACCTGGGCCAGGTAATCCCTGCTCCTCACCTGGGCCAGGTCACCTCCCTCACCTGGGCCAGGTGAGATTTCCCAAATCCCAGCTTTTCTAACCCAGTCTAAGCTGGCTCCTCCCCCAGCTCACCTGGCCCAGGTAACACAAGAGGGGCTGATTTTGGGGAAACGAAAAGGGCAGTTTTGGGAAAAGGAGGTGAAAATGGACGGGGACAATGGAGCTGGAAAATGGGGATTGGGGAGAAAAAGATGATTTTGGGGAAAAACAGCTGGAAATGCCAAATTTGGAGAAAACAGAGGTGGAAAATCTTGAATTCAGGCCAAAAATGAGGTGAAAAACGCTGATCTTAAGGAAAATGAAACTAGAAAATGGCAATTTAGGGAGGGAGCAAAAAGGTGAAAAACGCTGATTTTGGGGGAAATACAGGTGAAAAATGCCACGTGGGCAGAATGAAAGTGAAAAGCTGATCTTGTGGAAAACAGAGGCAAAAAATGCTGATTTTGGTAAAGCAAACTTGAAAAAGGGAAGTTTGGGGGAAGACTGAGCTGAAAATGCCAAGTTAGGGAAAAAATAAAGCCAAAAATTGCTGATTTGGGGGAAAACGAAGCTGGAAAATGCCAGGTTTGGGATAACCAAGCTGAAAAATGCTGGTGTGGGGGAAAACAGGTGGAAAATGTTGAATTTGGAGGAAATCAGGCTGAAAATTGCTGATTTGGGGGAAAATGAAGCTGGAAAAATAACGATTTGGGGGGAGAAGGGTAAAAAGTGATGATTTTTGGGAAAACTGAGCTGGAAAATGGGAATTTAGAGAAAACAAAGGTGGGAAATGCTGGTTTTAGGAAAAATGAAGTTGAAGAAATGCTGGTTCATAGAAAACAAAGCCAAAAAAAACCTGATCTGGGGGAAAGGCAGGCTGGAAAAGGCAGATTTTGAGGAAAGCCAGGTGAAAATGAGCAATTCTGGAGAAACAGAGGAGAATTTGGGGTGAATTTGGGCCTTTGGGGGTTGGCAGGAGCGGATCTGCTGAAGCTGACGCGGGAGGACGTGATCCAGATCTGCGGCCCCGCCGACGGCATCCGGCTCTTCAACACCCTGAAGGGCAGGTACGGCATGGGGACTCACCTGGGGGTGCCAGGACTCACCTGGGAGTGCCAGGACTCACCTGGGGGGGCTTTGGACTCACCTGGAGGGGTTTGGGACTCACCTGGGGGTGCCAGGACTCACCTGGCCCAGCCTTTTCCCGTGCGAGTCGGGAATGCAGAGGAAGTCTGGAGAAGGAAATCCAGGTGGGAGAGAGGAATTAGGAATTATTTTACTTTGAGAGCCCAGGAATGGAGGCACAGGCCAGGAACTGCTGTTGATTCAGGAGCTATCTCCACCTGTGACCCACACAGGTGGAGTTACCTGCCCAGGAGGTTCCCAGAAGGGGGATGTTCCTCACAGCTTCCCCTAAAAAGCAGGGATTTGCCCCAGGGGTTTAACACACCTGGAGCGGTGTGGAAGGCTGAGAGGGACGGAGTGTCCAGGTGGGAATGTCTGGGAAGCATCATCTGAGACCTGGGACAGGGGAGGGGCTCCAGGAGCATTCCAGGTGGGAATTCCTGCCCCGTGGCTCCGGGAATGCTGAGCCAGGGTCACCAACCCCCAGGGGACACCTTGGGATCAGCCAGCTGGGGACGAGGGGTTTCCTGTGGGATGAGCTTGTCCAGCTCCTCCTGAGGACACCTGGCAGGGTGGGAGCCCCAGGTGACCCTCACCTGTCCCAGGATGGTGCGGCCCCGCCTGACCATCTACGTGTGCCAGGAGTCCCAGCACGGCCGGGAGCCCCAGCACGAGCACGAGGACGGCGACAGCAGCAGCGGCACCTTCTTCGGTGAGGGGATTGGGAACCTGGGATCACACCTGGGGGATTGGGATCACACCTGGGAACCTGGGATCACACCTGGGGAAGCTGGGATCACACCTGGGAACCTGGGATCACACCTGGGAACCTGGGATCACACCTGGGGGATTGGGAACCTGGGATCACACCTGGGAACCTGGGATCACACCTGGGAACCTGGGATCACACCTGGGGGACTGGGATCACACCTGGGAACCTGGGATCACACCTGGGGGCTCAGGAAATGGGGATGTGTTGGCAGCTGTTTGCAGCAGAGCACCCGATGGCCCCATCCCTCACTCCCTCCTGAGATCACCTGATCCATCACCTGTGTCCTCACCTGATCCATCACCTGTGTCCTCACCTGATCCATCACCTGTGTCCTCACCTGATCCATCACCTGTGTCCTCACCTGTGTCCTCACCTGTGCCCTCACCTGTGTCCTCCCCTGATCCATCACCTGTGTCCTCACCTGTGCCCTCACCTGTGCCCTCACCTGTGTCCTCACCTGTGCCCTCAGCTGTGCCCTCCTCACATGTCACATGTGCTCTTGCCTGTGTCCCCACCTGTGAGGACAGAGCTCACCTGAGCCCTCTGTACACCTGGGGGTCCTGCCCCAGCCCCAGCGGATTTCCCTCCCTCGGTGCCACCACACAGGTGTTGACATCTCACCTGTGCCACAACTGGGAGCACCTGTGAGAATCCTGGTGCCTCTCCCAGTACCTGGGGAGGGGCTGGGGTTCATTCCCGTCCTGCTGGGGGTAAAACCCACCTGGACCAGTCCAGGCTCAGGTGCTGCTGGGAGGTTTTTGGGGCTGGATGTGAAAATCCCCTCAGGTGCCAGAGCTGAGCCCGGCCCCGGGCGGCTGTGGGGGCACACCTGGGCAGGTGTGGGGCTGCTCTCTCTCTCACCTGCAGTTTACCACGCCGTGTACCTGGAGGAGCTGACGGCGGCCGAGCTGACGGAGAAGCTGGCGCAGCTTTTCCGCGTCCCCGCCCAGCAGATCCAGCAGATCTACAAACAGGGACCCACCGGGATCCACGTCCTGGTCAGCGACGAGGTGACGCCCACCTGCCCCCCTGGGATCCCCTGGGAGGCTCACCTGGGGAAATGGGATCAGCAGGGATCACCTGGGCATCTCCAGCCCTTTGGAACCCAAACCCTTCCCAAGAACCCTGAATTGCTGTTGTCTGGGGGGTTTTTCAGATGATCCAGAACTTCCAGGATGAATCCTGCTTCGTTCTGGACACCATGAAAGGTGTGTGAGTACCTGGGGCTCTGTGTTGGGGCCACACCTGTGTCAGGTGACCCCACCTCACCTCCCCTCACCTCTTGTGGAGTGACCTTGGCTTCCTCTGCAGCCGAAAGCAACGACAGCTACCACATCATCCTGAAATAGGGGGCCAGGTGAGGGCCAGGTGAGGAGCACCTGCAGCCTCTCAGCATACCTGGACACCCTGCACAAGGACACAAGCAGAGATCTGGGAACCCCCAGGTGTTGTTACCTGGCCGCCCTCCTCGCAGGGAACACCTGGAGACCCTCTGGAGAGCCCCCAGGTGTGGTTACCTGGCAGCCCTTGCCACAGGTGACTCCTGGCATGGACAGGATGCTCCATTGCTGGAGCTCTGGGGCACCAGGTGTTCACTCACCTGGGACAGGTGTGTGCAGGTGTGAAGTGATCTTTTAAGGTCATCAAGAATTTCATATCCAGATTTAATTATGGAAAATTGGAGGATAAAGGAGTAACTCAGGGGGAGGGAGGGTGAGGGGACATTGCTGCGTGTTTTGGGGAGAAAAGCAAAGATTTCGCTATTTCTGCTGAATGTGTGAAGTGATTGAAGCGGCTCTGGGCAGGTGTCCAGGTGAGGGATCTGCCCAGGTGTGGGAGGTCAATCCCAGATCCCTCAAGACTCGGATGCTCCAGGTAATACCAGACTCAGCCCATGAGGTGTTTCAGGCAAAAAACCAGGAAAAAAGACAACCTAAAGCAAGGATTTGATTTAAATAAAGTCAGGGTGGGATCCAGGTGAGGCAGGTCCTGGCTCAGGTGACAGTCGTGACAATCTGGCTGAGTAACATCTCCAGAATCACCCCAAACATCTCCCCAAAATCATCCCCAAGACCACTCAAAAATCACTCAAAACCACCCCCAAGTAATCCCCAAAATCACCCCCAAACTACCCCAAAATCACCTCCAAGAATCTGCCAAATTACCCCATCACCACCCAAAATTACCTCGATATCATCCACAAATTACCCCAAATCACCCCAAATTCATCCCCAAATCACCCCAAATTCATCCCCAAATCACCCCAAACCCCCCGTGCCCCTGCTGGGACAGCCTGGAGGAGGGGAAATCCTCACTGGGATTTCACCTGGACAAGGTGAGGGTGGGGGACACGGGGGGCTGTGATCCTTTCATTTCCCTTTCATTGGTCAGTAACTCTGGGATGTCCCAAATTCGGTGCCCCCTGACCCAGCTGGGGGCACAGAGGGCAGCGGTGGTGGTGGAGGGAAGAAGAATTTACTGGAAGCAGCGAGATCAGAAACGGGAGCAGCAGCGTTGGTACCAAACGGTTCAGGAGGACCCCGGGTGCTGGCCCTGCTCTCACAGCAGAAATTAACCCTGTCCTGGCCACAACCAGGGCATTCCCCAGCCCTTACTGCACACCTTCCACTCATCCCTAATCCCACACCCTCCACTCATCCCTAATCCCACACCTTCCACTCATCCCTACTCCCACACCTTCCACTCATCCCTAATCCAACACCTTCCACTCACCCCTCA